GGTTTCATCGTCGAAAATTGTACGTTCTAACCACTCGAACACACACACTATATATATATATATATATATATATGTGTGTGTGTAAAATGTATGTGTGTGTCTTATAAAGTCAAGATATGGTGGTATATATTGGAATTATCACATGGGAACAGTGTAATTTTTAAAATAGTGAGCTAAAAATTGTTTTTCTACAACTTGAGAATTCTTTGCTTAATTTTTTGAAACACCTCGTATACATAGAGAAAAAAACGCATATTTACAGAAAGACTGACAAACGAGATATTAGAAGAAATCAAGAACTGGTAGAAGAGAGAAAGAACAAGTCTTCAGTTATTTTTTTTTTCGATTATGCAATGTACAGGGTGATCCGAAAGTGTCGTCACCCCCTAAAAAAAGTCGTGAGAACAATAGCTGAACAATAATCAGAAAAAAAAAACCAAAAAAAAAAAAAAAAAAAAAAAAAGCATATATACTGAAATCCAGAAAAAAATAGTTGATATTCCTTGGGCACATAACGAAGAAAAAGTGTTTGGAAAAACTTTATCCTCACGGAGCATATTGAGGGCAAAAGAGATAGGAGAAGGCAGTGAGTCACTTTCTGACGAGCTTGTGTTAACGGATGCTGGAACTGGGAGATAGAAGAAAAAAAAATGCTAAGAACCACACGAGATAGGAAACTGTGGCAGGCCATGATCGGCTATGTCTTGCAGGGACGGGGCACATAGACAAAGAAAATATACTGGATTTGATCTTTTCGTTACGGATATCTCTACACTTTGCAATCGCATTTCAAGAGCTATGAACGCCAACTCACTTGATGCTGTATTCGTAACCAAATATCAAGAAATTTACACTTTTTCATAAAATATTTATCTGGGTAATTTAAAAACGTTGCATATCAGCTATTCGTTAATGAGAGACCAGGATGCAGGATAAAATTTCATATTATTCATAAATCATATCGGGAATTAAGGTAGCGAGGTGTGTCCGATCTTTTGATCGCAGGTCGCCAGTGAAGAAGTATACCTGCTCCTTCGATCTGCTAGCTTGGGATATGACTGTGAGCAATTGCTAAGCTCCCCGTGCCAAGATTACGGAGAAGCTAGTGGCAACAGGCTGGTGGATTGGCAATTGCTGAGCACTGTCTTGTTTGATCAGTACTGTTCCCTTCAGCAGGCGGATGAGAACCAACGATTGGCGATACGTAATAAAACAAGGATGCTATTGCGGGGCATTTAGCTAAAGCCTCCTGTGTACTCCTTCGACTTTCTATAGATCAGGTGATAGTCAAACTAGAGAATGCTGCTGTTAGTGTGCGGCGACAGTTTTCCAGCGCAGACAACGAGTGGTAAGGTATTTACATTATTCGATCTGTTGTTCTTATCGTTATTGCCATATTATCGACATTTCGGCCGATGTACGCTCCGACCTTCTTCAAGGACATATGGCCCAGTGGGTACAAGTGTTGGTTGGATCGAGAGACTTGATTAAAAAAGTTGTGAGTTCAATATCTGGCTACTGCAGTGGAAATAAAAACTTGGAGAGTTGAGTTAAAAGGGAGATAACCGAGGCATCTGGAAGAGGCATAGGACGTGGAACTAGAACAGTCTAACCCGGTAGACGAAAATAAAGGGTTCAGTTCGAGATTCCGATCACCTGACGAAGGCTTGAGCGTACAACGGCCGAAACGTCGCGAACATGGCAATAAAGATGAGGATAGCAGTCCGAACAATGTAAATAATAACAATACCTCATCTCAGAAATATAGACAGATATTGGAGGAATGCTACACCTTGTGTTCGTCGAATACGATGGAGAGTTGGTGTTACTGATGATAATGATGTCGGGGGGGGGAGAGAAATTGAACTTCTGGCTTTCATTTTTGCTTTTCAACCTATCCGATCATCTCAAGTCAGATGTTTTAACGCGATGATGTCTATCGCTCATCATTCTTTCCTTCTTTTTCCTTCGGCAGATTCTTTTTCGCTTTCCTTCTTTACTTTTCTTCTTCCTTTTTTTTCCCCTAATGACGTCATTACATCATTCGTAATGGTGACCGTTATATTGAGACATGTAATCGTTGAGGTGAGAGGCACGCACGCCTTTTTATGTTCATCGTGATGGCCGACAATGGCAGCGGTGGTATGTACATTATCAAGTTAGGCAGTCAACACGACAGCTTGTGTTTTCGTTTGGTTGGCTCCTATTTAAATACGAAAATTATTTATATGCGAACACACCAGTATTTGTATGAATGCACGCACATACAAGTACACGTGTATACTTGAACTATTCTATCTAGAACCCATTTTAGCAACTCCATAAATTTGAGTGTATCCCAGTCATTTATTTTGAATGCTAATTTTTTTATAGCAGTCAAGTTCTTCCTACCAAATGGAAAAATTGTTGCCGCGCAATCTTAACAGCGTAATTTCATGATTGTATAAAATGCATAGATGTGCGAGTGTGTAAGGTTAGCTACTCGGAAAGAGAACAGAGTTCGAATTCCAACCGATTACTTTACACACACACAAATTTGGGAAAGGTATGAATCAATTACTACCATCAGCTATCGGTTAAATAGTAAGGCTGACTGGGTTGTCTTGTCGTGAGGTGGTAACCAATCCATGAGAAGGAACACACTGAATTCAAAATTAGCCTGAAGTGTGATGGGTTTCGATAGGCTATTTCGTCTTGAAAACAGCTCTGTTGCTATGACTGCTGTGTATGTGGTACCTCTACAACCCTATATTGTGTCTATTTAGGCAGCATATTTTCATTCACGCATGTTTCATTAAATAATATAGACAAGTTTTGTCTATTTATTTTATGCAAATTCCTTTCATATCGTCTGATAAGCTTAATAACATTATCATTGAAAGACGAAAGAAAATCACCATATTGATACATGTTTTTTTTTTAATCCTATCTAAGCTTTGGGCTTACATTTTTAGGCATTTAAAACAATATGCCTGGCCGCATACACAATTCCGGAAAATCCTTATGGAAAACGCAACTATTCTTAAACATGAAAACAAACAAAAACTAAAAATTCTTGAAGCTATATACATAAAACAGTTGAAACCTAACCTGAACAAAATAAACTATGAAAACTCCACAAATATAATCAAATGCCTATAATTGATAACAGAAGCCATTGGTTTATACCCGGTTTCCCATACTTAACAATTTTCGTTTTCACTCTCGCGTGATCATGTGTGACGTCATGAGCCGCGGTGCGATTTTTGCTTCCAGCGTCTCGTATGCACGAGTTTGTCGTTGCTTAGAAATCTTCCAATCCAAACAAAAACAGACTATCATTATTGTCATGTCCGTGTATTGTTTAATATATTGTAATGTTATTGTCATCTTTGATGATGGCTTATGTCTGTGTGTGTGTCGGTTTATGAAATGCTTGTCAGTATTTATAAAGCTTTGTTCGACAAAGTGCTAAGAGGCGAAGCGGGAAGATTGTATTGCGTCAATCTTTCAATGGTACTCCAAAATTAAAATCAGCATTTGAAGTTCTGGCTTTCACTTGGGCCCCCAAAATCAAGTTATTGTAGCTGGAAGCAGATACGCAAAATCTCAGCTATCAAGTCAATCTATTTAAATTTGCGATAATCTTATCTTTACCGAACTAGAAGGCTATTTTCGGATTCCGAAAAAAAAAAAAAAAAAAAAAAAGGGAGTGGCATTGGAAGGGATGGCATGCATACTCGTTTATAAGTCAATCTCGAGTATAGGTTGCTCTGTAATTTGGAGGTGGGGGCAAGAAAACATTTGTCTTGTTTTTAAGGGTTAAAGAACACGGTAATAATACCCCCTCATATGCTAGTTATTTACAGTTCGCTGCGACAAAGCAGGGGATCTGCAATAGAGACAACTTCAACACTCAGCAGCTGTCGATGGAAACGATATAATGCTATTTACTTAGCTTGGCACAAGGCCAACAATAATAGAGCAGGTGATGTAGATTATAAAATATGTTAGATTTTATTGTGCACGTCAATATTTTTTACAGATCTTTTATTATATTAGTTAAACTTTCCGTATATACTCTTTTTCTGTGTGTTGTGACATTGACTATATGGGTCTCCACGGCTTCCTATCTTGTAACTTAATAAATTTTATCTTTTGGTTATCTTACCCAAACCCTGCCCCGCCATCCATTTACTCAAGCTCGCCAGGTAGATTTATGCTTTCTTTTCCTTTCTCCGTCAATCTGTTATGTGGGGATAAACTTTTAAAGCCCTCTTTCATCACTAAGCACCCCCTCCCCCAGAAACTTCAATTATATCTTCCTGGTGTTAGCTATAAGTGTCCTTTTTATTTTCATTGTCTCGAGGAGTTGTTCGTTGTTCACATGTTCGGTCCATGGTATTCTTAGCATCCTTCTGTAGAACCACATTTCTACTGTTTCAAGTTTCTTCAACTGTGAGGAGAATGTCCAGCATTCACTGCCATATTGGGATGACTAATATTACATAACAGTTCAGTAGTTTAGTTTGAAATAAAATGGTAAATTGAAAAATTCATTCAAAATTAATTTGTTTGTATAAAGCAAGTGAGACAGACGAGCTTCGAATAAGTCAACAGATTATAAAAACGCAGAATATAAAATAAACAAAGTCTAGAATAACAGCTGGTTGACGAGAGGTGGGGGAATGAATAGCCTGTCTATTTCGAACGCAAGATTATTTAAAATGAACAATATATCGTTCGTGTTTCAACTTAGAATATCCATCATTAAGATTCTTAATAATTTCTTTTTGGGTGTCAAGATTTTGCGATGTAAAAGTTTAATTTATATACAAGTTCGAAATATCTAGACGACAGAACAGTTAACACAATTACCTATATACACAAATAGATTATAATTTTTCACATTAACATGGACTACTTGAGATTCTATTACCTTTGCGGTGTTTAATTTGTATACGGTTTCTAATTAAAAAAATACTTTTCATTATTTCCTAAAGTTTTTCTTTGCATGAGGCTTACGGCCACATCACTTTGAAACACGGATTTCCGTACTATCGCCAAAGTTAAGCAACGCCGAGCCTAGTCAGTACCTCGATGGGTGACCCCTTGGAAATACCAAGTGCTGTAAAGCTGGAAGTGAGAGTGGCTCGGAAATGTTAATCGAAGAGTAGAGTTCCAATTCCCGTCGGGTTTGTTACATTCACTTACGCGTAAAAACCGTCGAGAAAAGCATGAATCTACCTCTTCTCTTCCAGAGTTGATTAGTAAAACTTGTATCCATTATTAGGAACCATTAGAGAGAGAGAGAGAAAAGAAAACAGAGAGAAAACAGAGAAAAAAGAGAGAGAGAGAAGAAAAAACAGAGAGAGAGAAGAAAACAGAGAGAGAGAAGAAAAAACAGAGAGAGAGAAGAGAAACAGAGAGAGAGAAGAAAACAGAGAAAGAAAAAAAAACAGAGAGAGAGAGAGAAAAACAGAGAAAAAACAGAGAGAAAAAAAACAAAGAAAAAAGAGAAAGAAAAACAAAGAAAAAAGAAAAAGAAAAACAAAGAGAAAAGAAAAAGAAAAAGAAAAAAGAAGAGAGAGAGAAAAAAACAACAAAAAATATTTAGAATCTAAAATATCTTCTGGTTTTAAATTAATTTCGGCGTCGCATTCTCGGTCCTCTGTTAAAACACGTCACAGATATTTACAGTTCCCTACTTGTTTGATTTTGAACCCACCAATTCTTAGTTCGCCTCTTGAACTTTTTCTCTTGCTGATAACTATATTTTCGGTCGTTTTACAATTGATGGTTAGTCCTTTCTTCAGGCTTTTCTTTAGTAACTTATCTAAGAAGTTCCTGTATTTTTGTGTCATGGCATGAATAGAATTAAAAAAATGGGGAAAATGGATCTTAAAGAATAGTTAAACGTTTGGAAAGGCAGGGGAAGACCTTTTAAAATTGACTGAAAGTATTCATGCTCTCAAATAAAAGTGGTGGGAATACAAATGTGTGAAGGGATTTCTTAATGTCCAAAGTCTTAATGTCGCATGATCTCCACTTCGAGCTACCAGAAACTACTGGTTTGGGAAGGAAGCTAATATCTAACTAAAAGAATTTTCACATAAATTTAAATGTCTGGCGTTATAAAATTTAAGAAAGAAAAGTCGTTTACTTTAATTTTACTAACAATTTATTCTCTTACTACATTATATATATATATATATATATATATATATATATATGCACGCACACAGGGTGTAACGGCAAAATTATCCAAGTCGTGTAACAGCATGCGATAATTGTGCATCCCATAAAATATTTGATATCTAAAAACGACTAGACTAATTGAATTTCTTTTTTCCTGGTTTTCAGCTAAGACGTTTAGCCATCTTGACATCATTTGTCATAAGAATCAGTGAAACACCCTTTGAGTTAGCCAGCTAGAAAGAGAACAAGTTAAAATAATTTTCTGTCAGCCTCATTATATTTTCCCATATCTGACAGGGAAAACATCATTCAGTAATGGTACGAACATTCATACATTGGCTTCCATCTTTAAAGTCCATTCAAGAACCATCAAGAGAACGAGGAATAAGTTAAAAATAAAAAAAAGAGGGAACATTAGAAACGAAAAAGAAGGATCATCATTTTTACTTAGAGCTAAGGAGATCAATTCGAAAAGATCCAACTCAATACATAAGGCGTTTGGCACGTGAGAGAGGAGTTTCACTTGAAAATATAATCGTATATGAAACCTGTGAGGCAACTTGGTACTCCAGGACAGTAGGTATGAGAGGGGGAAGATAATCTTGAATAATTTAGAAAAGGATCCTTGAATTTATATATATATATATATATATATATATGGACTGGGCGATGAGAATATATATATATATTTAAATTGATAGCAAACATCAAATTAATTTATTCGGGTTATTTTAGGCGTCTAAATTACTATCAAGCATTAAAATCTATTCTTTACATAAATTGCTAAAACCCAATTACAGCCTCCCTCTTCTTTCTTTTTCCTCTTTTCATTTCAATATACCATTTCCGTTAAGTTAACCGTCTAAATAGGTCAAGGTCTGGTCACCCCTCCTCCCTCAATACAAAGTATGCTTGAGAGAGATATGAAATTAATCCCTCCCTATGCTCTACCATGTCTCTTTAACTACTCCTTTTACACTGTTAAATTACAAAAGCTCACACTACCCATCAATTTTAATTTTTTTTCGTTTCATTTCATTATTTGTACCTATAAAAATAATGTATAAACGGAAAATATATTCAAATAATTGTCAGATTAATCCATTTCATATATATATATATATAAAATGGGCTATGATAAGTTTTTAGCCACTCCTTGATTACAGCACTTTTGGCTTGTTTAATAACGTCTCTTCTTTTTTTTTTCAGACAATACCGTGTTAGTATCAAGCTATGAAAGATAGTTGACTTATATTTTGCAATGAAAGTTTACGGAAGTAAGGAAATTGGCGAATTTCAATGAGGGCAAATAATAGGATGGCATCAGTGTGGCAAGTCAAATAGAAAAATTGCTAGGTTTTTCCAGGTTAATCATCAAACGGTTAATAATATTGTCAAGAAATTTAATAAAGAAGGCCATTATCATAGAAAACGTCGTCAGAGTGTCAAAGATGTCGCCAACAGCATGGAAATGTCGCCATATTCGGCGACAGACTTTGAAAGAGCTGGGTTATCAAAGAGTTGCAAGAAAGAAGCCCTTAATTTCAGAGGTTAACAGGAACAGGCGTATGGACTGGGCGAGAGAATTCGAGAGCAAAGATTATGAAATTTGGCAGTATGTAATTTGGCCAGATTCTGTAAATTCTGCCAATATTTGAATTCGCGATAGGTTTATATTTGGAGAAATCAGAATGAGACATGGAACACTGAATGTGTGCAGGCGACCATGACACATAGAGAGATTGGAGTAATGGTGTGAGGCGCTGTCTGGTTTGGAGGGAAATCTGAGCAGATTCTTGTTGATGAGTATTTTAATCGCCCAAAATTCTGTCAAATATTAGACAAAGGATTACTCTCACTATTTGAAACCAATCAGATTGATAAGAATGTCTACCTTTCTCAAGAAGATGGAGCGCCATGTCATATGAGCAAAGTAGCAAAGAAGGAATTGCAAGGAATCAAGTCACTGCCATGGGTAGCCCAAAGCCCTGACATGAATCCAATAGATCCCGTCTGGGAGCACCTTGACCGAAAACTTTGAGAGCGTGCAACCAAAATCACATCAGTAGTAACCCTTAAAAGAAACATTGCTAAAGGAGTGGCAAAATATGGATCAGACGATTGTTGATAATCAAATCCAGGAAAAATCAAATACAAACACTGAAACTAGCAAATGGAAAAGCTATACTATACTAGTTCCAAATACTGTTTATTTATGTTGAGTTGGTATTATGTAATTAAATTTTGAAAGGGGATGTATTTTATATCTTCTGGCTAAATCTTTTCATAGGCCACTGTATATATAAAAATTAGGTCAATGTATATATAAAACTTTTCTTAGGCCACTGTATATATAAAACTCATAACGGCTTTATTGATGGAATCAGAATTATATAAAACATGTGGCGGAAGCTGGTGGTAGAAAATACAATAGTTACCGTTTACAATGAAACCTTAAAAGATACAAAGACATCTAGCTTTATAAAACTTATTAGTCTCAAGAAGTTCGTTTTAGGAACGAAATGCTTTACTTATAAGATTGTTTTCTATTTCGTCATTCACTTACCAACTTATTTGTCTGATACATCTTTTAGCTATCAGAGAGAGAAATTAATGGCCACAAACAAGAATATTTTAAATCTTAATATATTTTAAATATATTAAGTGTGTTTCTGTTTGTGCGAATGTAATTAATTTTCTAGCGCATGCAAAAACTATCTAAGAAGGTTAAACTCTTTCGGCTATTCCTTTGGCAGACATGTAAATCCAGACCTTAATGATTAAGAACAAGAACTTATCTTTCAACAAGTATTAATACAATCTTGACTGACAGACACATATATATACATACATATATATATATATATATATATATATATATATATATATATATATAACTTTAAACGTTATGGGTACCTAGATTTGAGTAGACGTTCTGAATATTCGAGAAACCTTATTAAAAGAAAAAGTAGAACCATCTGGTTAAAAGCCCGGCGGATCTAACGACGGTTTCTCCTGCCAAGGGGGACGCCATAGGGCGCATCTTTTTCTTGATTTCAAGAATATTCAGGCTGGTAGACGGAAATAAATATAGTGTTTAAACTAAACGGAGCGTCTACTCAAATATGGGTATCCACTGACAATAACGTTTAAAATGATATAAATCTATCGAATTAATAAAAAATATCATTATGGCATATATATATATATATATATATATATATATATATATATATGCTATTGATTTTATCATCCATGTTTTATACAGTACCTGAATAGAAAAACATCTGAGTTGTTCAACATTGAACATCTGACCTTAACTTTCTTCATTCAAAGAGCTATATCAATTATTTCTGTCAAAAGAAAATCGTAAATCTCTTTACTCTTGCGCGTGTTCAAATTTTATCGCTCATATTTCTAAAGTTAGCCTTTCCACGCATGCGCAATAGGGACATTTATGAGAGCGTTGCCCATTGACAGGAAGACTGGGAAAACCATAGATTCAACTGTCAACAGAACTAAGAAAGTGATTCATTGAAAAGATTGAACCACAACTGATTCTTCGTTTGCCAGAGATGGAGAGAAAAAGGTATAGATTAGAGTGTTACAGAAAAAGAAAATAAGGGAGGAAAAGTACGTATATTGTACAGATATTTATCCAAATTTATCTTAATCTTCTACAAGACTATTAAGTGATGGAACATTCTATAGTAATAATGATTTTGAAATATTCTTCCTGACAACTGCTCCAATGTCAATACAGGGTGTGATAGGTAAATTGTAGCCATTTTATATTTTGTTGATTGCACAGTATAGTAGGGTCAGTTGGGCACCTTCTGTGAGAAAAAGAGCACCATGATGCAATTCACCCCATCAGAAATTTGGAAATGGCACGCTGTACTGCGCCGGAAGCTCCAATAGGAATATTTTAGAATT